ATCTCAGTCTTTTTTATTTTTTTTTAAGATTTTATTGATTTATTTATTCATGAGAGACACAGAGAGATGCAGAGACACAGGCAGAGGGAGAAGCAGGCTCCCTGCCGGGAGTCCGACGCGGGACTCAATCCCGGGACCCCGTGATCACACCCCGGGCCAAAGGCAGATGCTCGACCACTGAACCACCCAGGTGTCCCATGACTGGTTTCTTTCATTCATCGTGTTTTCCAAGCACCCCCCCCGGAGGCCGTTATTCTGCCCCCAGAGACGTCCACATGCAAACCTTGAAATCAGAAAATAAGTTACACAACAAAGGGGATTAAGCTTAGAGATGGAATTAAGGTTGCTAATGAGCTACCGAAAAATAGAGAAATTATCCTAATAATTTCTGTGGAAAAAATAAATATCACTGTGGAGTGAGCCTAATAAAACCACAAGAGTCCTTAAAAGTGGAAGATGGAGGAGGAAGAGGAGGTCAGAGTGATGCTGTGAAAAGGACTAGACCCACCATTGCTGGTTTGAAAGATGAAGAAACAGGGTCATGAGCCGTGGAATGTGGTTCCTTCCTCCAATGTGGCTGGAGGAGGAAAGGAAAAAAAAAAGTCTCTTCTCCAGAGAATTCAGAAAGCAATACCGTCCACTGACATCTTGATTTCAGCTTGGTGAGTCTTCCAAACTACAGAACTGTAAGATCATTTGCTTTAATCCACTAAATTTGCATCAATTTATCAACAGTAGCAATAGAAAATACATATATTCTTAATACAGGGCTTTACAGTTATAAAATTCCCTCTAAGTCATGTATAGCTCCATTCCACAGTTTTAGTATGTTTTGTCTTCATTTTCATTCATCTCAAAGTATTTTCCAATCTCCTCTCTGATTTTTCCTTTGCTTTATTAAGATTGTGGTTTTCTTTTTGATGTTCACATATTTGTGAATTCCCCAAATTTCTTTCTCTTATTGATTTCTAGTTTTATTCCATTGTGGTTCGAGAACATACTTTGTATGATTTCAATCCTTTTAAGTGTATTTATTGAGGTTATTTTATGGCCTCGCCTATGGTGTATCTTGGAAAATACCCTAACTACACTTGAAAAGAGTGTGTATCTGCTGTTGTTGGGTGGATGAAATCCAGGGAAAAATAAGAATGAACAACAGTAGGCAAAGAGATGAAAAGTTAAGAGGGGTACATACATATCAGAGAATACTTACGTTTGACTCTATATTTTGGGATCAATGTGACTGAGAATGTAAGTTGTAGATATACCATGGGGACATCTAGAACAGGGTAAAGGACGTGGAAATGAGTTTTCCTAAATTTTAAAAAGTAGTGGGTGATTTTTAAACTGGACAGCAAATGTTCATTTTCTTATTTCAGGATGAAAAACACTTGACACCAAAGTGGAAAAAACTTGATTCCAAACTATGGTAGTGAGATTCACAATTTCAGTGTTCCCAAAAGAAAGCATATCCCTTATATATGGACTTTAAAATGCAATTCATCAGTGTCGGAAAAACGTCCGCTGCTGGTTTCCGTCTCTGGCTCCTACGTGTTGGCAACCCGATGAGACTTCATCTCACAGAGCGCATCCAATTTCTTTAACCAGCATCCTAGAAATCGGTTTAGTTGTATGGGAATATAGAGAATTTAGCTCGATATATGTAAGTTGTAAACAGTCCAGAGCTCAAGTTGCTAGAGATTATGAAGTTTACATATTTGTTACCAATCATTAATATTGAATATTTTTATATTTCTTCTGCAAACGGAAAGTATAGTTGTACAGCTAGATTCTGAGATAATATTGATGTTCCAAAAAGTTATTCTTCCCAAGAATCTTTATCTATGTGCTTTCTCCACATGTTATCACTTCCAAATAGATTCTCTAGTACCGTATGACTTTAGTTTAAAGCAGAAGCATCAAAGTGGGAGGATACGTTAAAGACACATTTTTTAAAAATCTCGGATTCATTTGAGATTTAGAAGATCTATTTAATGATGTTTTAAAGTTGAAATACAATAGTTGATGCTATTTCTTGGGCATTAAAGCTCATTAGCTGGAAGTTGAGGGTTCAGTTATTATAACAACAGGCACATGGCTGTTCCTCTACGGTCGCACACGAAATTCTGTGGGACAACTTTGCAGCGCTGCCCTTGGATCCGGTTCTTGTCACCTCTCTGAGCCCTTAGGAAATCACAGTGATCTAGGAATACATTTACATAAATAAGCATTATGTTGGCATCTATTTATGAATCTCCTAGACTGATGACAGCTTGGCCTGTATGATGCCACTGTTTGCAAGTAAAACATATTTTTTATCCCAAATTCTGATTTTAATCCAATAATCAACACTACCAGAACACAGGACTAATTGCAAGAAATGGAGTTTTACGTGGTGCACACCTGCATGGAATCAGTAATTTGCATCTGGGGAATCTGGCTTTCCTATCACGGAGGTCAACAGAGAGTAAACGCTGCTTGCTATTTCCAAGAGAAGTTAATCAGCCCATTATAATCAATCCACCTTGCAAAACTGAATAGAAGATTAAGTAAAAAAAACAAAAGTACCTCTATTAAGTCATGATTAGGTCACTCAGGATCAGATAAAGGAAAAAAGTAGTGGTAAGTCTAAATAAAACACACTTCCTCGTAGGTGGTCATAAAATCACAAAATAGAAAGAATATTCAGTTAAGCTCAGGGGCATCATTCTTACTAGAATATGAAAATAATTTTGGAATTGATATGCCCCTTTGTGGATTTTAAATGGCGATCAAACTTAGTCATTTTTTTTTTTAACTTAAATAGCATCACAGGGGAAAAAAAAAAACAGAGCCAAAAAGATTTTTTGCAGCCCTAAGCATGGCAAGGATTATGGTTTCCTGCATTGGTTTAAAATCAAAAAAAGAAAACAAACCTAAATTATAAAGTAATTGTAAGAAATTACAAAATGTTCTGATTTTTACCGTGGAAGTTAACTTCACAATTTTTGAAACATCAAAAATCAAATTATTTCCAAAACATTGCTGATGGCCCACACTGCTGTGCGCAGTTGGCCTCCGAGGGTGCGTCAGCCTAGGGCCAGGCCAGGAGATGGCCTGCGGTGGCCCTGCTGTCTGTAGGGTCCCAGCAGGAACGCGGCGGCGAAGACAAACTGACGACCCTGGAACCTGCCTTTGCCCCCAACGAGAACCACCAGAGGTTACTAGTCTGCACAAAAACCAGCCATGTGGTGCTGTAGTCACCCCAAGGCGACACCGCTTTACGGTTCTCCACGTTGTGCGATGCTAGGAATCTGCACAACGTGTCAGTCCTTTTTTTTTTTTTTCAGAATTTTTTGCAGATATGTTTGAGCATGGGTAATGTAATTTAAAGATGTATGGCCCTTGGATATTCAAATCCAAATTGGTTTGTTGTCTACATGTATCAGTCGAGAACATGCTTGCCCGTGCGCATAGATAATGTAGCGAGAGCCATTTGGGGATGAGTTCAGTTGGTGTTACATTTCTAATGCTCTTTTCTTACTAGTTCTTGCTTGGCCTTAAATTTCTTCTTTTCTGACAAATTAGACACTCTTCAAATTTTACTAATGAGACTAATATTTCCCCCATTGAATCAAAAGGATTAGTTCATTGTATTTGAAAATGAAAATAATTTTCCCTGGGAGAACGCACGAGACCCAAACTCTCCATGGTATAATATATATTCATGCACTTTCAAAACCCAATTCCTTTTGGCTTACGGTGTGAAGTTAGCTATTTTTGTTACATAATTTGCCGAGGCAGGAATGCACGCTGAGCGATAACTGTTACAAGGTTGACGGGATCCAGGGCCTGGGTCAGAGGACCTGAATTTCAGTCTTTTTCTGGCACGTTCAGCTACATTAATTTGCAGACTCGATTTCCTTCTCTGTAAAAGATTAATACATGCTAAAGTAACAGCAGCATGATAATGATTTAAAAGGGCATATACAAAAATTTTGAGCTCCCTAAACTCTGGGAGGAATTTAGGGAAAACAGATCTTGACGGTGGGAATTATGGGCTAAAATTCAGAGAAAATATTGCTGTCTGTGGGAGTCAGCTGCCTGAGTGCAGAACGATGGATCTTCAATTTGCTGATTATGGGAGAAGCACCCCGGCTTTCAGAGGACCACTGCTTGCCTACACGTGAACAGTGGGATTTCATTGCTTAAAAACTCATGAAAGCGCCTCTTGCATCGGTGGCCACACTGACAACGACGGAGATCATTATTTCAAGAACTGGGATGTTTCCAGAATCACTGCAGCAACCCTCTAACTGGCTAAAAGCTTCCCTGCCTTTTTTAGTGTCCACCTTCCAATTTATTTTACACAAGCGCAAAAGGATATTTTGAAATTTTAACATGAAACGTCCTGGCTTAAAACCAGTCCGTGGTGCCCTACTGCTTTAGGCAAAAGCGTTCACATCCCTCGGCGTGACATACCCACTCCCCAGGGGTAAGACTCCCGTTAATCCTCTGGCATCATTGGTGCCCACCCCGTCTGCCCCGCTCGCCCTGGGTACTAGTCATGACAAACTACCTTGTCACAGCGGGTTGTCTCGGTTCCTCTCGTGTTTACCTGGAGTGCACCCTCTGCCAGCACCTCTCCTTACCCTGTTCCAATCCTCACTCTTGACTCAGTATCCCTGGAGCAATCCTTATTATTTTTTTTAAGACGGAGTTTAATCATCATGTGCTTTAAGAACTACTTTGGGTGAAGTGATCACTCCTATCAATGATCAGTACATTCCCATGGCAGCCGAGAGGCCGGACCCCGGGACCAAGTATGGTGCCTCAGGACTATGCGATACAAGAAACACAGCGGTCAAGACCTAGGCTACCATCAAGGGAACAGGAAAATCAAAAGGCCACCATGGGAGTAAGAGAGATTCCTAGAACCCAGAGATCTTGGAGAAGATCTCTTTAAAAACAACACTGATAACAATAACAACAAAACCTTAAGTTACTTTACTTACAGATTCAGCCACAAAGAGTTTTCCTTGATTCTTACCTCCCTTTGGTACCACGGGCAACTCCACTCATTCTAGCTCTACTCTCCTGTCTGGAAATTTTAAACGAACAATAGAGCTTTTTCAGTTTATATAACATAAAAGCTGGAGAGTTATGCCTCGGTCCCAGAGTGACCCCTAAGTTTATTACATTCTTAATATCCAAAATGCACTTTTTGTGAATAATTGTCAGAATGCACCTCTTCATTTCCTGGTTATGTCTATAATATAGTTGTTTTCCTACCTCTAGTTTTAGCCTGGAGCATAAACTGGGGTCAAACTTTGGACATTGAAGGAAGAGTCCATTAAAATCCTTGTTCTAAGACCATTAGGCTTATTGAAAATGAATATTCCAGATGTCATTATTGCCCCTCCAGCAAGGAATAATATGCCTTGCAGACTGTAGAGAAAGGCTATGTAATTCAGCCGTGCTCACACCATCCTAGATCTGACTGCACAGCCCTCCTCTAGGAATTCTGTTCTCTTCCCCATCAGACACTCTTGGCCATTCCCAGCTCTCCTTTAAATTACACCAATGCTCACTTTCATAATAAATTTGCTTTATCAGGGCAGGGCTGTTTATTTTTTTTAAGATTTTATTTTTAGCTAATCTCCACACCCAGCATGGGGCTCAAACTCACAACCCTGAGACCGCGAGTTCCATGCCTTACTGACTGAGCCAGCCAGGCACCCTTAGCAGGGTGAGGTTAATATTATAACTTTGTTCTTAGTGTACTCCTCAATGTTCAAAAACTTTTTTTTCACTTTTTATACTCCAAATTATATGGACTTCAGTTCAAGCTAAATCCTGACCCATTCTGAGGTGAATGAGAAAGGAAAATATGTCTTGTATTTCTCAGTACTTTGTAAATCTTGTCATAGGTAATAGTTCACTTTCTGTCAAAAAACAATTTTTTTAACAAAATGTGACATTCTTAAAGCATGATTTTCTTAAAGCATGTATAACACATTACTTACAAAATTCTGTTTAATGTTTCCTCATCACGAGACCCCGGTGTCAGAAATGTTATTTAATTATTTGGCGGTGGAGCACCTGGGTGGCTCAGCTGTTGTTAAGTGTCCAACTCTTCATTCCCACTGAGGTCGTGATTTCAGGGTCACGAGGTGGAGCCTTGCATTGGGCTCTGGGCCTGGGGTGGAGCCTGCTGCGGATTCCTCTCCCTCTGCCCACCCCCCACTCCATGTGCTTACAGGGCATTCTCCTCTTTCTCCCAAAGAATTATTTTGGTGATGTGTGTTTATAAATATATATAGCATATAAATATATAATCATATAATATGTGATTAAATTATAAATATTATATGGATGTATAAATATGTATAATATAAATATACAATATGTATATAAATATGTAAAAAATTAAATAAATATATATGTAATATATATGCAAATATAAATATGTATATATAAATACACAATAATTCAATAGTACAGACATATTTAAAATATTTTTCTCCATCCATTATACCTCATACTTCTCAAAATGATACTTCATATCCACAGACCAATCTTTTCTTTTTAATTTTAATTTTTATTTATTTATTTTTCCACAGACTAATCTTCTGATAAACATCCTCTTTCCTATTCATCGACATAATATTTGAAAAAAATATATTTTATATACTTATTTTATATATGATATTTTAGACAGAAAAAATAAAGAACGAATATGAATTACAGGCGCGTTTTAGCACCTATGGATGAAGTGCAACAACTGATATGAAGGATTTCAGTTTGATCTCACTGATACTGTGATCTTTGTGTCATATAATATGTTCTGAACTCAGTCTAAAAGTCAGTATCACACGTGATTCTTTTTGTTTTCATGGGGTATGGTTCTAGCCAAAGATCACTTTAGATGCCAAGGGGGCTAAGCAGGGAAACTGGTTTTCTCAGAGAATCTCTAACTGAAAGCAAAAAGTACTTTTTTCCCTAACAATCTCATCTGTGTCTCGGTCAAACCTGCCATCTGACTAATTAACTACAAGGAAGGAGGACCAAGAGCCTCATTTCCCCCCCCCAAGTATCCCAGCGTACAAATCGCAGTCATTAGGCGTATCCTGTTGTGGAAAACAAAACTTCTATTTCTGGATTGGAGATGTGATAGGTTCTCCTTCAGGTTCTTCTTTTTTTAAAGATTTTATTTATTTATTCATGAGAGGCATGGAGAGAGAGGCAGAGGCACAGGCAGAAGGAGAGGCAGGCTCCCTGAGGGCCAATGGGACTCGATCCCCGGACCCTGGGGTCATGACCTGAGCCAAAGGCAGATGCTCAACCACTGAACCCCCCAGGAGCCCTTTCTTTTAGGTTCTGACCAAAAAATGGCCACACGAAGATGGAGTCTCATGGAGTCAGGCTCTAATTCTGGGGAACTTCCCTTTTGTTGGTACTAAAATCATCAGAGAATAAATGTCAGATGTAAAAATATTCTTTGACACTGGGGAGTAGCCCTAGAGGTTACTGAAGATAGTGACCTTGTATGTGCTTCAGAAGACCCAAAATTCTGTCCCCTAAAGAATTTGGACATTTTTTTTTTAATACGGTAGGTTTTAGTGCAGAATAACAGAAGGAGAAAAAAAACCTCTTTTCTAATCTTTTAAAGATAGTTCTTAAAAGTGTATATTATTGAAACCGGTGATTATTCAATATATTAAATGTAAATGTATGCCTAAGAATTTCTATCACTTGCATTAATCAAATTAGAGTAATTCAATGATTTTTTGAATATTTTATAATACTTTAAAGGTTCTGCATAATTCAGATATTAAGATTTCTCCTTAAATTATTTTACTTAATAAACTTATTTAAGCATCTATTAGACATAAGTCCTTCTAGGCTGCCAGGAAAATCAATATATGACCGTGAGCACCCTCGGGGAATGTGCGGCCGATTCAAATCACTTATAGGAAATTGTATGAAGATAATCACTCATTAAACTAGATTCAGAGACATAAGATAGTGTATTACTCCGTGTGCTGAGTGGGCGAAGCTTCGTAGAGTTTAGCTGCTCAATGTTGCTCTTTCTTAAAGGCCAGAGAATCGCATGTCGGACCTTCCCCTCGTCTGCAGGGATGTTTGTCTCGAACAGGCGGAGGGTATGGACTCGCCTGGAAATGAATCCCAAGACGTTTAGCCCTTTAGTTACACCCTTGAAGACCGTCGGGGCCTTGGCCCCTACAGACGCCTGAACACAGGCCGGGGCAGAGGCCGACGTGCAGCAGCCTCCCCTCTGCGGCCTGCTGCCCCCTCCCACCCCTCCCCCTCCCTCCTCCTCCCTCCCTCCTTCCCCCTCTCTCCCGTCCCACTCCTCCCTCCCCCTCTCTCCCCCTCCCCCCTCCCTCCCCCTCTCTCCCCTCCCCCTCTCTCCCCTCCCACCCTCCCCCTCCCCCCTCCCACCCCTCCCCCTCCCACCCCCCCTCCCTCCCTCTCCCTCCCCCTCTCTCCCCTTCCCCCTCTCCCCCCTCCCCCCTCCCCCCCCACGCCGAGCAAGCACGTGGCAAGCACCTGCACCCGTAGCCGCAGCCTACAGGCTGCTCCCCTGCGGCCCGACCGGCCCTCCCCGCACAGGGCCTGCGCCCCCCCCAGGACCCCCAGGCCTCCGCTGGGGTCACCTCCCGGAGTGTTTCTAAGGAGCAGTAACCGCGTCCTCTGGGGCAGGAGGAAGGCGAAGCGAGGCCTCCGACCCCAAGCGAGGCCCATGGAAGGGGCGGCCGGCCGGGGGGGGGGGGCGGCTGATGAGGGGACAAGGCTGCCCCCACCCCCTGTGGTCGGGGCTTGAACCAGCGACAGTGACCACAGCCACCGGCGCCGCATGTCTCGCTTCGGAGCCCACGGTGGGAACCGGGTGCGGGCGACCGGCCGACTGCTTGGGCCTCGGGGGCCAAGGCCGCCTGCCCCGCCCCAGATGGGTGCCCGCGTGGCCAAGGCCCTCCTACGCCCACTGCCCCCACTGCCCCACTGCCCCCACTGCCTCACTGCCCCCCACAGCCCCCCACTGCACCACTGCCCCCACTGCCCCCCACAGCCCAGCACTGCTCCCCACTGCACACACTGCCCCCCACTGCCCCACTGCACCCCACTGCACCGCACTGCCCTGCACTGCCCCCGACTACCCCCACTGCTCCCCACTGCTCCCCACTGCCCCCCACTGCCCTCCACTGCCCCACTGCTCCCACCCCCCCCACTTCACCCCACTGCTCCCCACTGCTCCACTGCTCCCCACTGCCCCAATGTCCCCCACTGCCCCCCACTGCTCCATGGCTCCATGGCCCACCCCGGCCATGTAGGTCGGAGGGGAGGCATATGGCCAAGGCAGGGGACCACGGACAGCTGCGATGCTCATTGTCCCTTTCTCCCAAAGACAGAGATTTTGACCCTACTTTACAACATTTTCCTGCTCTAGGAGGTTTACTATTTTCACGACAACCTTGTAAAATTGCATTTCTAGGGCAGTTTATCACTGTTTTTTATTCTATGCTCTTGAAACTTTCCAGAACCCTTAACCAAGGAGGCTTCGGTAAGTGGAGGCAGCATTTGGGCCCAACCAAGAGTCAGAGAGGAAAACAGCAGTAGTGACTCGGCCCGCGGATTTACCCCAAGCTTACCCGGCTGGGCCCACGGGACAAAGGACAGACCTTATGCACAACAGGGCCAGGAGGCGGCGGGATTTGCAGCAGGCTTCGTGGGCCTTGCCCCTTGCAGGGACACAGAGTTCTCAAAGGCCGACTCTGCCCTGAATTAAGCTTATTGACACACAAAGTATGCGGCGTATAAATATTTAATTACATAACTGCGGAGTCCTCCTAGTGAACCCTGCTCCCCATTCTCCACGTGGCCACATTGTAAAAGGCAGGATTACAAGCTCCTTTTTTCTTTTTTTTTTTTTTTTTTTAAGAAAGAACTTAATAAAGTAATAAAAGTGACCTGAATAAGCCTGATTTCTAATTTGGAGATCATTGCAGAGATAACTCAATTTTTTTTTAACTTTTAGAATGTAGGATTCATGACTTTTTACTTTTCTGAAAATTATGAACTGATTTTTTTTTTCTTCCCAGGGAGCTACGTGGCATATCTTCATCCACAGATTCACTTTTGCCTTTGGACTCTTTCTCACCCTTCCCCTCCTTGGGGAGAGAGAAGGGGAATAAAAAAGGGCTGTTTCAGCCAACTGGCTTTATTAAAGCTTTCTCATCTATGAGGCATGAGAATATGTTTGCAAATCTGCTTCTTTTCTGATTGGCAGGGAGAAGGACAATTGCTCTTTAATTAGAACCTTCTGAGCCCCATCATATGGTTTAACCCAGGTGTTTATCTCAAGCCCAGCACCAGTTGAGGACATGGGTCAACTGATAGTTTTATTTAATTATCCAACAATGCAGGATTTACCCCAGCGGGTTATTTTCTTTGTTGATATTAGAGCAGAGGACGGGGAAGTGATGGAGGGGCCACACTGGAAATCATGGCAGACTCGGTGGGAAATTGCACGCTAACCTTGATCCCGACAAAATCTGTCTATATGAGTATGAATCTATGCCTAACGATCCCGGGACCTTGACCGCGTTATCTCTAAGAATCAGACTAGTGTTTTTCATATACTTCCCTGAGTGACTTCTAAGATGCTCCCCGGGCCTCAAAGACTGTCCTTCTAATCAACACATAGAGAGAGAGAGACCCTCGTGTTACCAGCGGGTTGGTTATTGCAAGGTTTTAGGGTTTTGAAAAACTCCTATTTACTTAACACTTCATCAGTCGTGTTTTGCTTTCATGGCATTTTAATAAAATGTTTGCTAATATTGTCAAGGGAGTCCCCAGCTAAAATACAATCAAGAGATAGCTCTGAAGAACATCTCTCTTCTTATCCTGATCCCGTCTCTTTGATATTTTACAACTGACCAAAAATATCAATGCCATTGGCAAACAGAGAAAAACAGTTATAGAGTTCATCGCACCTCATTGAAAATCACACACAGTTGCCTTCTTTCCCTAATGTTTGGCTATAAAAAAAAAAAAAATCCGAGAAGAGCATCCTTTTTTTCCCCTTGCGTTAATTCCTGTTCTTGTACAGAGAACATCAGGCAGTGACTCACGTCGCTGACCCGCAGCCAGCGCAGCTGGAGGGGCCCAGGACACATTTCATAATGAGGACAAAGACAGAAAGGGAGGAAAGTTTGCTTGTTTGCTTAAAAAATCTATACAGCTTACTGCTGCAAAAGAGAGATGCAAGCTTTTCTAAGAAGACCGCTTGAAGGAAAAGTGTTTTGTGCTAATTAAAAATTGCTTGACTAATTCTTGATAATTCAATTGACACATAATACATTCCCCCAAGGTAGCTCTTTCCTCCGGAAACCTCACTCTCACTGAGAAGAAGCAACAATTTAGGACTATTGTGAGGCAAGCTCTGGTGACAGTTTAGAGGCATGAACAATAAAAGAGAAATATACTACATGGCACTTCTGGAATTCTTTTGAGAGAAAAATAGTAGGGATAGGTTTGTATGTAGGCAAAAAAAAAAATGATATTGCGTAAAGTCTTCCGAGATCTGGTAAATGAACGCAGAAATATCCGTACTGTAGCTTCCAAAGGGTGAGTTGGTTGATACAGAACAATGTCAAAGGTGACACATCTCCACGGGTTTGCCCATGGGTAGCACTTCCCTCCCTGCGCAAGGAAGCGCAAATGATCACGTCTGTCGCTCGTTGGGTCTTCTGTCCGCACTGTAAAAAAAAAAGTTGAATTAAATTGTTGGCTGGATATTAAAAAAATAAAACACTGTTAAATAAATTAAATTAAATTAAGTTAAATTAAATTAAATTAAATTGACTGTTGGCTGGATAGTTAAGATCGCTAAGCACGTTTGCAACATGTCTATCATCGCTAGGGATAGAAGGTCTCATCACTGTGACAGGAGGTATCATTTCTCCAGACTGTGCTAATAGGAAAGGCCCTTCGGGGCTAAGTTATGATTAAGAAAAAATAAGTGGGAAATATCAGAAAGGGAGACAGAACATGGAAGACTCCTAACTCTGGGAAACGAACTAGGGGTGGTGGAAGGGGAGGAGGGTGGGAGGTGGGGGTGAATGGGTGACGGGCACTGAGGGGGGCACTTGATGGGATGAGCACTGGGTGTTATTCTGTATGTTGGCAAATTGAACACCAATAAAAAATAAATGTATTATTTAAAAAAAAAGAGAGAGGGAAAAAAAGGAAATAAGTCAATAGAAAAAAAAAAAGAAGTAAGTGCCTTGGCAAACCTGCTGTCCTGACGGAGCTTGGGTGAGCTTCTTATTCCACCAACGAGGAACCTGCTAGAGCGCCCAGGCCAGCCGTAGTCATCTTCAGAAATTCAGCAGATAGTGATGCACGGGTAGTGAGGGGTATGTTATATTTTCTTAACAATTACTGCAGAATTTCTCTTACTTAGGGCACTGTGTTTGTTGGAAGAAAATATCTTGGAAGGTGTTTAGAGACGGAAAGGGAAGGCAAGTTGAGGGCAAGAGAGATCCTGCCATAATGGGAGACTGTGAGTTTGGGTCCTTTCTGACTCTGGCCACGTCATTGGCCCAAGAGAGTTCCAACAGTTGGTCTGCAATCCATGTTTTTTTCCTTTGCAGGAAGTGGAGTAATCCTTTTGGGGATAAAAAGAAGACCAGTTGCCTAGTGTACTGCCTTGTACACCGGATCTCTGGTACGGCTGATGCATTCGTTCATAGATTATTACACTATTTTAGAAATTTCACTTCTATCCCTAGCTCCTGGCAGATGGATAGTTGCATATGCGACTGTACCCTGCGGAAGGTCTTGCCACCTGGGACACGTGTGCCACATTCATCAGGGCTCGCATGACTTAATTGTCTTGAAAAGTATTGTAATTTGGAAAGATAGTTAGATCGGACTTTGAGTCGTCATGAGAATACATGTATAAGTTTATGAGGCATTTACTTTATACATGTTATATATTCCTATTTTTAAAAAAGATTTTATTTACTTATTTATTTGAAAGAGAGAGAGAGTGAAAGAGAGCAGGGAGAGGGGCAGAGGGAGGGAGAGAATCTCAGAGTTCCCACGGAGGGCAGAGCCCAACATGGGGCTTGATCTCACAACCCTGAGATCGTGACTTGAGCCAAAATCAAGAGTGGGATGCTTACCCAACTGAGCCACCGAGGCGCCCCAATATCTCTATTTTTAAATGCCCTTGGATAGTGACCACAGCACAGCGGACCAGCGATGGATAGATATGTACATACATAGACGACCGCGATAACGGAGCTAGTTCAGCGACCACAAGAATAATTATCTTGACTTTATACAAAGACTAAAAACTAATGTGTTCCACCTTCTTTACTTGTTGTTTATGATTTAATATAATTTAGGAATATTGCATCTTTGTGTAATTGTCCTTTTTAGCCCATGTTAAGGAGAAATGAGAGGGGATCCAATAAATAAATAAAAGGGGATATCTAAAAATGGAGAAGAGAAAATTCATTTGCTTCATCTTCCCTAGAGTTCTCTATATTAATTAATTAATTTCTTAGTGTCTCTGTGGAAGTAAAGTTATCATACATATGTTTAATGATAATTCTCTTGAATGTGCCATTTGGTAAATGCTTATAGTCATGCATCTTTATTTTGGGGGTACTTAAGTTTTAATTGTAAAAAAAAATGACGAAAAAAACAACAAAATAGTCTAGCACATTTTTTAAATCTACCAGCCATATTTTAAGACAAAAATTCAAAAAAAAATGATAAAATAAAAAAAGACAAAAATTCTGTACTTCCTTACCATGTTCTCTTTAGCTTTAACACTCTATTTGTGCTGAGAGTTCACTGGTATTCCCAATTAATTTCTTTCAAGAGATAGATGGAAATTTAGTGTTAATAGGATCTTAAAAAGTCATCTGCTAGCCTCCCTCTTGTTTCAATTTCCTCTTTATCACTCACAGCTTAGAAGGAAATGTTATTACATTTTGACATTCTGATCTCTCTTGCCTTCTATGTAATTCTTGTCTGGCCCATTCACATTGTTTACGACTGTATGGTGTTCCTGAACATTCTGAAGAAATATTTTTCACCAGGTAGTTGTTGTGGTTTTATTTTATTATTTTTACTTTTTTAATTTCTTTTTATTGTGGTTTTATAGTCATCAAATTAATAATAGCAGTTTATACTCTCCCATTAAGAAATTAACATAATTCCACTGGTGTTTTAATAAAAGTTTATATAAGATTTTTATTTCTGCTGATTAAAAATCACTAAGAATCTCTTTGCAACAGCTTTATAAAAAATAATCTCGAAATTTCACTTACACATGATAATTTTTTTAAAAAAAAACTATTAGTGTAATACGCTGAGGGCTGATGAGAACAGAGTTTTAAATTAATGAGTTCTAATCTTTAATTCCTCCATTCAACAAATGTTCGCTCAATACAGAGTAGCAATGCACACCGTGGCAGGGGAGCGCTGGAGCACTTTCCTTCGTGGGCTGGCTACAGACACAATCTACTCTCCTTCACGTAAAATACTGTCTCACGTCTACTACCCAAAGGATAACATCGCACTCACACGTCATTGTAAGAACATAACTTGATTGGAAATTATTTCTTCAGAGACGAAAACTTATGTGCATGTTTATCTTCCACAAATGAATATAAAATTGGCAGCATTTCTACTAGAGGAAAAGGTGAACTCAAGCATCGGTCTGTCCATATGATTAAGACA